ACCAAGGAATGTTATTTCAAAAGCCAGGATTGACAGCAGGCTAACCACTAGTCAAAGCAACTGAAAAAGTTGGGAACGGTGCAACTATGGAACCAGGCAATGAGTTACAACTGAAGAATTTGAGTTACAACTGAGCAAATTAACCATCTCTAATCATACAGTTTGCATATTCACCATGCTTTCTGGCTGCACTGACAAATGCACCAACAAATAGGAGCGAAGCAACTGTAGTAGCAGCATACAGAACATTCTGGAAATTGGAGGTACTCTCCGGAAGACGCTGCAATTTGGAAAGGACAGTCATCAGCACACTGTTGCACCACGGATACCAAGTTTCACTGAGATACGATGCATCCTGCAATGACCTCTGCTACGTATATCATTAGAACGGATCAAATGATAATATCGCTTGCACAGTGCGGAGATAGGAGCTGTTCGAATCATCGATTATCCATGTTCAGCAGAGGTAGTGGACGAGGTTGCTTTTAAATTCGGAAAATAGTTAATCCAGAACTCGATACGCACAGCATTTTACTGGCATCCGGAATCTCCAAAATGTGCTGCACTATTTGTACTGTGAATTAATAATTGTTTTCGCTAATATAAAAAATTACACATTTGTTAGAGAAAGTTTTTTATTCTGGAGATATGCAGCCCAGGATCGAAAGACCTCGCACAGCAATCAAAAATGGACATCAAGGTGAAGAAGGCTCAGCCTCCGGGGTTTTTAAATTTCTTTCAAAAAAATATTGCCGTGACTTTGAAGGTACAAACATAAACACAAACATCAACACACATGCACACTAACACACACACACACACACTGGAATTTTTGACATGCGATTTCAGTTCGGGTAAAGCAAAAAACACGAAACCCAGGATGTTCCAAATCGGAAGGGTAGAGTGGCAGATAGAGTTATCAAAATTGCTGTGTGCGGCAAGAGGCCAGCTACTGCTGCCGCAGCAACAACAATCAATCCATCACCATAACCAGTTTGATAAGGCTTCGTGAAAGCGAGCGCACACCTCGCCCCGTTCAGCGCGCATCTGCCCATCCGTCATCGTTCCGACACAGCTTGCTTGCTCAACATGCTTCCAGGATGAACCCATGCCGAGACCACCCTGTTTTGAAGCGTCACCATCCAGGAAAACCAGCTGAGAGAAGCAGGGGGGTGCGGAGTGCTGTCGATATTCCTAACACGCCACAGGCTGAAATAAGCACAAAAACGCAGAAAAATCGTTGATCATAACTGATAAATAAAAATGTGCCTGTTTGCTGCACATGTGCCGATGACTGAGCAGTTCAGGAAGAGACGAATTGAGGCAAAAGCGGATGGATGGGAGAGGAGGAGAGGCTGGCAAGCATGAGACAGTCGGGAGGAATATAAATTTCAGCCGCTAGAGAGGATATATTTGGGTTGAAAATAAGTGCGCCAAATGTAGCTCGGAATTGATAGCTTCCATGGGATGACTGTATCCTAGACTGGAAAGCACCAAAAAAAAAAAGAAGATCACAGTGACTGAAAAAAAAAAAAAAAATTCAAAAACAACTTCTTGTGCCTCGGGCCTGCTATACAGTGTTTAAAAACATACACATAAGTTCTATTTTTTCCTGCATATATTCTCCCGTTTTTGCTTATCTTACAAATATGCATATTTATTAGATTATGGTTTAATTTACGATAACTAGCCTGAACATTCTAACTAATTCAGTAAATTATAAATAATAGTAAAAGGTAATAATAAATAAAAGTAAACTGAATGTATGTTTCATTTCTGTACATATTTCATGCCGTATCTAAGCTAGCTTATGTGGTACCTGCGCCAACATCTTTCAAATCGTGCTTTTGATATCTGTGGTACGATCAGCCAGTAATGCTACACTTACTATTTACTACTGCTTTGTGGAGTGTTAAAAATTTTTCACACGAACAACTAAGCAGCTGCTTGATAATGACGCCGTTTTAACGAAATTTATTCTAGAAGGCAAATGGGTGTTTTCGCCGCTTTCACCTTCTGGAACCGCTAACTAGAAGCAACTCAGGGAACTAGTTTTTTGGAATCTTTTACATTCGCGTTTTAATCGCAAAATAGCAGTTGGTCTTCCGCGGGCGACATTTCAACCTGTTTCCCAAAAAAAGTCATTAAAAGCTCTGCTAGCGATCACTACCGTAGTCAAAATCAGTGGTTTAAGAATTAGCGGAGTGAGCGTGTAGAGGATCTGAGAAATTGCAATCCTGATAGGGATGGCATGGGCTATTCCACTGTCTGGTAAAAAAAGTCAAAGAATTAACTTAAGAGGGGAATGATGAATTAGCGGATTTTTAAGCTGAGGTGGCTTGCGAAAGTTCTGCGGTAGCTCGTTGTGGCACTTCCATGCTGCTAGCATATGTTCACAGTTCCGGATTCCTTTGCGGGTAGCCTTTCCCACAACAGATACGCGACCCTGAGGAGGGGAAAGAAGAGGGCAAGAAGGATGGCAAGAACAACATATTGAGGTGCTTTTCAGCAGCACACAATCCATCAAGTTTTTCCTGAAGACATTTGCCCGGAGCTAGTTTGAGAGAATGTCACAGAGGATTTCGAGTACTGTCACTTTTGGAAATACACTCACAAAGAACTCTTTCCGGCATTGCAGAGTCTTGTGAATTAGCAAAATAGTTTTGCAGACAGTCATAATCGTTCCAAGGTTACCGGAAAATCTTTCTTTTCTGAAACGCAAGAGACTTCCAATCCTTTTCTTCATAAACACTCGAAGGCGAAGAGGAAGAAGGAAAGAAGAAAGAGAGGAGAGCTGAGGAAGAAGGCATCTCCTTTTGTTAGATCCGATGTGTCCCTGAGAATAAGAAAGATGATTTCGAGTCAATGAGAGCTGAGGCAGGTGTAACTCACAGATTACAAGATTTTAGCTGGCAAAATCCAGGGCTTGATCAAAAAGGCATCAAAATTAATTCAGAAGTGCTTAAAAAGTGAATGAGCCCAGGCATAGAAAAATTTGCACCAAAATGCTGGCAAATTTAGGTGGGGAAAGAGTGTGATTAAAAGTTAGCAAAATTCTGACTGCTTTGGCGAATGTTGCTGACTCAACTCTTCTGAATGACAGATGTCAGAATGAGTTTAATGCAATAATACTTTTTTTCAGTCCGCAAAAAAACTTGCAATTTTAGGAAATTTGC